TGAATCTCCTGCTAAATGAGCTTGTCCTTTTACTGAACGCCACCACTTTCTTTGTCACAGAGTTGGCTTTGATAGCCAAGCCAACTTGGCACCATAATGAGAGTAGACTATAGGCATGTGTGAACTTGCTCTGTTTCAAGGTTCAAGGATTTTATTGTCAATTCACCATATGTGCAGGACATACAGAAAATTGAAATACCGTTTCTCTCTCAGCTAGTATTGGGTGCCATAACATTTAGGAACTAAAATAGATAGAATAGAATAGAATAAAGTAGAATAAAAACAGAATAAGAATTTCATTGATGTAATTAGGATAAATCTAAATGGTACAGCCAATAGGATTGACTCAAAACTGTGTACAGTCAATGACAGTAGTGCAAACAATAATAGGAGACTGTCAGGTGGTTCAGCTTCACCAGGGCGTTGGTGATGAGGTGTCAGGGAGTGGTGTGTGAAGCTCCCATGATTGTGGAGGTGTGCCCCTCATAAGCAGTATTAAGAACAATGGGCTGAGCACACACCCCCGAGGAGCCCCTGTGCTCAGCTTGATGGTCTTGGAGTTGTTACTGCCGACCCACACATTTTGTGGCCTCCCTGTTAGAAAGTCCAGCACCCAGTTGCAGAGAGACGTTTTGAGTCCCAAGTGTCCAAGTTTTCGTGTAAGCTGCTGGGGGATTATTGTGTTGAATGCTGAACTGAAGTCTAGGAACAGCATTCACATGTAAGAGTTCTTTGAATCTAGGTGGGTGAGGGCTGGATGGAGAACAGCAGTAATGGCACCTTCTGTGGACCTGTTTGATCTGTATGCAAACTGAAATGTGTCGTGAGAGGGAGGAAGGATGGACCTGACGTTCTGCATGACCAGCCGCTTGAAGCACTTCATAATAATTGAAGTCAGTGCTACAGGCTGATAGTCATTGTAACAGGTTGGGTGGAGCTTCTTTGGAATTGGAATTATTGTGGTGGCCTTGAGACATGTGGGAACAACTGTTTGGCTCATGGAGATGTTAAAGATATTCATGAGGACATCCTTGGGCTCCTCAGCACAGTCCTTTAAAACACGACCAGGTATGTTATCCGGTACAGCTGCCTTGCGTGGGTTAATCCTGGAGAGGGTCTTCTTCATGCTGGCTACGGACAAACACACAACCTGCTCACCCAGGGGAGGGGTGGTCTTCTGTGCTGGTGTGTTGTTCTGTGTTTCAAAGTGGCCAAAGAAGTCATTGAGGCTGTTCAGCAGAGAGATGTCACTATCACAGCTCTGAGGTGGGGGTTTAAAGCCTGTGAGGGTTTGGATGCCTCGCCAGAGACTCTGTGCATCTCTAGTGTTGCTGAAGTGTCCAGATATTTTCTTGCTGTATTGGTGTTTTGCCTCCCTGATTCCATGGGACAGGTTGGCTTTTGCTGTTGCTAGGCCTGTGGTGTCACCGGCCCTAAAGCCTGCATCCTGAGCCCTCAGGAGTCTGTGAACCTCACCTGTCATCCATGGCTTCTGGTTGGCACGAAAATGATATTTTTGCAGTAAATGACATCATCAATGTCAGTCATCACTTTGTGATGTATGCTGTGACGGCCTCAGTGTATTCCTCTATGTCTATGTGAATGTTTTGAGTGGATCCTTGTTTGAAAATGTCCCCGTCTGTAGTGTCAAAACAGTCCTTCAGAGCAGAGGAAGCCCCCTTCAGCCCCACACGTCCCTCCTTTTGTGTTGGTCTGATGGCTTTCACTCTGGGTCTGTATGCAGGTCTCAGCATGACGGTGATGTGATCAGCAGGTGGGGGAGGGGGGAGGTTTTGTATGCTCCCTTGCATGTTGTGTACACAAAGTCCAATGCGTTGTCGCCTGTCGTTGGAAAGTTCACATGTTGGTGCAGATTGGGCATACCCATAATGCTAGAAATGAAAACACCACACAAAGATCTGAATATAAATCTTTCACATATGGTATATCTAATTATATCATGTTTCATAAATGAGCACGTGCGTGTGCTGTGTTAGAAGCCAGTGTCTGGCCAAAGGCTTAAACTCATTACAATTTCCAAATCAATCTCAAAAGTGGGCTCACATTTTGAAACAATAGAAAATCTGTTCTTAAGACTGCAGATCACCCAGCAACACCCCTACACAGCCCAGCTCTGTCACGCTCCTCCTCACACCTGCTGTGTACTGTGAGAGGAGGGAACAACTGGAGGCATGGACAGTGTGCGAGTGTGTTTATGTGTGCACAGATGGCTAAGAATGCGTCAGTGCTTATGGCATAAGACATGGCCTCAGCTCGATTTAACCCTCCGCTGAATGCCAGTGTGCCGCCAGTCAGACTTTGTGTGGCTCCACTGGAGAAGATATGGAAAAAATCTGTGGAACAGTAAGTCTTGGAGATTATATGGCTCCTCTCAGTTCTGGTCTCAATAATGCCTCAAATCCAACACCACGTCACAACACAATGCACCATGTCACTGCAATTTGGTGCTTTTGTCTATAGAAAAAAGATGAATCTTGTTACAATCTCATCATAATTGGTGTCTGACACTTATGATGGGGCTGTTCATGAGCATGTGTGTCTGTTCCTGAGAAACGGCTGGTGAGTGCATGGCCACATAAAAGAGCGGGGAGGCATAAGAAAATGGATTCTATGTAGAAATAGCAATGGATCAACTGAAAAACAACATTGGCTTGATTTTTTAATTGCCTCTCTGCTGCAATGAATAGCCGACGCAGCTGTCTGCATGAACAGCTGCTTGCCTAAAAAGACTGAACAGAACAAACTCTGGGAGGGAGGAAAGAACAATGTGGGATGAGTCATATGTAGGCTATGAGGTATTTTGCAATTTCACAACTTTAAAAAATGCATGCAGGATCAGGAGGTTTTTGTGTGTGGGATTCACATCTGTTCCACGGCACATTTCCCAGGGAGTTTGCAAAGATGTATTTTCTATGCTGCATCAGCAAGGCTGCAACAGTATGGTGTATCGTTGCATAAAGCAAACTAAGGCAGACAATGTGTGTGTGTGTGTTTTAAGCCTTGTTAATGTGGAATTTGTGAGTTTACAGGTTGTAGTTTACTACTATGGAAGAACCAGAGGGTCTGAAAGATTTGATGTTGCAATCTGTATGGACTTCCTGCAGAATATATATCAGACTTGAATTAAGCACTGTTGTTTCGCTCACTCCTTCTCTCTCACTTAGCTTGAGACCTTTCGACTGACTACTCCACATCTATAAATCACCAGGAATGCATGCTTATAGCCCGGGGCAAGTGCGCTGACTCAGTCTTGCAAGGTTACTCACATTCACATCTCCTTGGCCTGTCTGCAGCAGCCAACTGATAACCAAACACACATTATGGGGCATGATCCCTCTTGCTTGTGAAATTCTACTCATATCATCCTTTAGCTGTGACGCCACATGAAAGAGTTGAATGTAGGTAAATTTGTGGCTCTATAGTGTTTTGGTGATTGTTACCAAGCACCAATAAAAATAAAGCTAAAACACATATAGAATTGCTGCAAAAGGAGCGACTGTAAGGGTGGAGCTGGGATGGTTGAGGATGAGGATTGACAACAACAGACAAGACAGATAATAACAGAAAGAAGTCTCATTCATGTTGCACACACACTCAGATTACACTGGGGCCAGTGGCTGGATACACTCGTATCCTTCTGTCTGTGTATGTCTGATGGACTTTTACAGAACATGGGAAGCTTTCCAAGTGTGACACACTGAGTAGTATAAGTGCTGTATAAGCGTGGGTGTGTTTGCATATTTCGGAATATGCATACATGTGATCGGGCTTAAATCTTTTTTCCATTCAGTGCTTTCACTTTTTTTTTTCTCTTCCCCAAAGTGCCCTACCCAGATATGTAGGAATTAGGCCACATCGCTCACTACCATCCTACTCTAATCAAAGTGCCGATTCTTGAAACAGACAGCTGTTGTCATGTGCCTTGATTCCAGTGGCTATCTGTCCCTGTAGCTGCCCAAGCTCTTAGTTGGCCAGCTGAAGTTGTAGAGGGAACGAGGGTTAACTGTCTCTGCCACTTCAAACTTCTATTAAAGCAGTCTTCTAATTCACAATATACCAAAGGCATACTGATCCAGGGTAAGTTTCTTTTGTTTTTTCTTCTCTATGGCATGACTCACAACATCCTCATATTCATACATGCGGTGTGAGGATGCTAATCACAGTTAGAAAGGACTTGCTTTCAATGTTATTTTCTATTATGTATGTCATCAGAATTCATGTCTAATATAAAATACACCAATACAGTAACACTGTGCTGATAGCAACTCACAAATACAAACAAAGCAGGTGGTTTTTAAATTTCATCTGTGTGATGTGCATGATCCCATATAACCATGGCTGAATGTGAATGTGAGAAACTGCTGAAAAGCAAAAGGGGAAAAACAGCCATATCAATTTCCCAACAGTTCATTTGGACTTTTCCCCACTTAACAAATCTGTGCTGACTAGATATCAGTGAGTCAATCAAACTTGATTGGTAGAAGTGTTCATTTGCCATGTTCCTGCATGTTTTACTGCCTTAAACCAGCTCAGCCTGGAGGAAATGTTCTCCAGATGCCTTCCCAGCTAAAATGTTTGGTAGACAAGAACGGCTAAATTTATACTCTCACGAATTATTGTCTATCCATCTGCTCCTGGTTCAGGGCAATTGTCTGTGTGGGCCAGCACAGAAACAATAGTGGCAGTTGTGTACTAACTGAAAGACAAGCCTTATCTCAAATGCATCTACAGATTAAGCCTCAGGCAGTCAGGTGTAAAGGGCAAACAGTTGAGATCACATGCTGAATAAACCTGGACCAGCTTTAAAAAAAAAAAACCCTTGTTGGGCTGAAGATTTGAGAGGGGATTTTAAACCATTATTTCTATGAACATATAGTTTACTGTAAAAATCAGCTGTTCAAATCCATCAAACAAAAGAAATGGAAAAACTTCCCTTGAAATATTAACACATGATTTCATTATCAGTGATACATGCCAGAAAAAAAAAGAATGCAATGGTGATGGTGTGAGTTGCTCTGCACATTCAGTGGTCAGGGTGTAGTTGCCTGCAAATCTGAACAGTATCAAACACAATAAAACATTATATTTTATATTGTTACATTTAGCATTTTGCTTTTTAACCTTCAAAAAAAGCTTTAACAACAGACTACTCTTACTTGGTAAAATGAAACAAACATTTAAAAAACAAAATACAACTTTGAAATAAAATAGTGTATTTTTGCTTTGGATAAATTTGAGACAATTTTTCACACCTATGCACAAATTGAATGTTGGTAAATACTCAGTATTAATTCTTGAGCTAGTGGGTAGGCGTATCAACATTTCATTTTATGGGAGCAAAGAGAGTTGTCATAAGTCATTACAAAGCAATTTGTTGCCCGTTTCCATAATGCACTGTGGCTCGGGGGACTAGGCGTGGGGGAGTGTTGTCATTAAGAGAGAAAGATGAGGCATGTTCAAACAAGGTTATGCATTGGCATAAGCTTCACAGACTGCTCAGTGAAGCCACACTGTGAACTGTTTTTGCTACTTGATTCACTGGTGTAAAATAACTTGGCCAGGGAAAAAAATAATAAAAAAAAGAGAATTCAACACTGGAGGGGTTTAACCCTCCAAACACACAAACACACAGGCAGGCCTTAGGTCAGAGGTCAAATGGCCCTGAACTCTCTCCCTTTAGGCTGAGGACATCAGAGGTCCCTTGTGTGCTGCTCTCCATTTATTTTACCCATCATCCCTCATCAGCCTGGGATGACCCTGTGACCCTGGAGCTTGGGTTACCTGTTAGTTGACTGTCTATTCATGAGGATGGGGCTTGACACTGTGACAACATTTGTTCTGTGGAAAAGGAAGGGAGAAAGAGAAGAGGAGTTCCATGTGATGAAGACCAAAGCAGCAAAGCGAAAAATAAAACCAAGTTAGACCAATATAGAACTAGTTTATATGAAAATAAATGAATTAAAAACAAATCTTTCCTTTGTAACCACACTCATAACTTCATGCATATGGTATAGTGCAAGGCCCTGCCTAGCACATTCTACACACAGATGACATCTATGTAGGCTAATTCTCCCTTACTTTGAGACAAAGATCCAAAGGAACCTAGCAAACAGATGCCTGCATAGAGAGGGGTACCTTCAAAACCACTCCCAACACCCCCACCCCCCGTGAGTGCTGTCAGTGCTCAATCAGAGTGCCGTAAGTGGGATCCTTGAATGGAGATACTATCAGTGCTGCCCTGTATACGCTCACACCACAGTTTCCCTTATCTCCGCTGCGATAACAGATCCCCTCTAACAGCAAGAGGCCTGAACCTGACACACTCTCTTTCTTCATATCTCACATTCTGCGTTAAGCTGCGCTATAGGCCACTTGATTTCAGACAGGGGCCCTCAGAAAAAAAGTCAATTTGCTCTGGTTCCTGTTTAAAATGTAATAAGTGTGCCTTTTATATTACATCTGTGTGGTGCTAGCAGAGGATACAGAGGGCACGTGCTGCTTCTGATTCTGATCTCTGATGTTATCAGCCTCTAGTAGAAACATGAGACATGTCTCAGTTGATGAATCTAGATGAGCGTGAAATTAAACAAAAATCAGAAGCATGAAACATCAACCATTTCCTGCAAGTGTACTTTTTACTATTTTGTAAACATTGCATTTCTGGAACAACTACATTTTCTGTTAACTGTCAAAGAGAACAGATGGTTCATAAGTGATTATATTGTAGAACTGCAGTGTGGATGTACCATTTATGTGTATCAGTTTAGATCTGAATACAATTTGTCCGGATTCCTGTATAAATGCGTTACCTGCTTTCTTTTTAATGCGCTGTATTTTTACCATGTGGCTGTGTATGTGAGGTCAGTGCAGTTATTTTGTCCTTGCTTTGAGGGGATGGGCCTGAATTGGGCCTGTTTTCAGGCTTCCACCAGACCACAGCACGTTGGTCCTAATAACAATAACAAGCATCCTGGTGTGGATCTGGTCCCACAGTGTGAGGACCTTAATGAGGAACATGTGGAGCTGCCCAGACAAAGTCAGAGGAAACCCAATCCCTCACTCCCTCCTTTTCTCCCTCTTCCTCCTCCCTTCCCCCCTTTTTCCCATTCTTTCCTCTCACTCTTTCACTTAACTATATTTTCTGTTACTAAGTCTTTAGTTTTTATAATCTAGCACTGCCCTTCTGCCCCTCTCTCAAATATTCTTAATATTTGTCCACAACCCCAAATACTTCTTCTTTCTGAGGTCCATACAAACTGGCTCTTTACTTTATTTGTTTCAGTTGTACCAGAACAAGTGGCCCACTGTCAGCAGGCAAAATACACTAGCCTTGTTTTTCCCCCTGACATTCCCTCACTCTCTCCAACTTGTTTTAGAGTGGGTAGTGTATACATATTTGTTGAGTCATGCGATGCAGTCCGCTCATAAGAAAATGTGGGAAGAAAGAGGTTTTTCCTCCACCCACCAAGCCTGACAGACAGTCTGTGAGTTTCTTTCATGTGCTGAATTCATCCTTACCATCCACCTGGATCAATTAACTGCTTGCTTCAGTGGTCATCAGTCCAGCGGTGTGGAACCACAGTTCATTTACTAGAGCGCAGTTTATTGAATTCAGTTTTGATTTTGTTGTCTTTTATTTTTATGTAACACACATTAGGCATGCATTTTCTGTCACTAAAACTGAGTGTTTCTTCATATTTAGCTCTCAGAAATTGAAGTAAACAATGTCTTTTCTTTCTCAGGAAATGCCATCACTCACTTCTGAAGACTGTAGCAGGTTGTATATCCACAACATCCAAAGATCTCCCTCCTCTGCTGCCTCACTACTCGTGTCCAAGTTGTGGGAAATATGAAGTGTAACCTGTTTGAGAGGATATAAAATGTGACCATAAAGCAGATCAACCAGCCCAAGCCTCCAAAATTAGCTGAACAAACAGAGTAAGGTAGAGCTCTCTGGGGGAATAAACCTGGCACACTGGAGCCAGTGTGACAGAGGCCCTTCTGGAGGCTCAGAACAATTCAAATGTTCCACTTGGGTTGAGCTGTCTTCCTTTCCCCTCCACTATATATATCAGCTCCACATCAACATGGGCCTGTGAGGACCTTTCACAAGACTGACAGGCCACCTGAATCACACAATTGTGCAGCTGGAGGAGCCTGCATGTGTATAGAAAAATCAGTGAACTGTCAAAGTTCACTTCTCTCATAATGTCAGGAGGGAGGAGCAGAGACCCACAGCTACAGCCCAATCCCAGCTGCACCAAAACAAAGCTTTAACTTTTAATCTAATCCTAGGAAACTTTAACTGTTGATTTTCTTAATATAAATATTTAATTCAGTAATTGGTTGGTACATTAAAATTATTTGTTTGCATGGCACAAAAACCACAGAGTGTGTCTCTCAGGCGAAAGCTGAAAGGTGGTGAGTCTGTGTCTTGCAGATGGTCTGGCCTCACAGCAGCTGTGCAAATGAAAGACAGTGCCGTTGAAGGAGGGAGAGGGATGGAAAGTTGGCCACCAGAGGAAAAGAGTAACATACAGGTTGCTAAAGGAAAGTGTAATGGAAAAATTAATAGCATACTGAGATTTGCTGGGAGAAAATAAAAGAGTTGGAATATTTTCATGGAATTTTGTAAGTGACAAAAACAGACAAATGCCCATGTTGTTGGCAGGCTGAGGAGAAAACCACACATTAGTTATAGGTCGCCTCTGTTTACTCTCTCATTCTCAGTCATTACTTTTCAGTCATTAATGTCAGAATAATGCCAGTTCTAACTTCAAAATATAAGTTTTAAGTTAATATCTATTGTCGGTCGAGGCCTATTGGACAGAGAAAACAGCAGGTGAGAAAATCCTGAAGTCACACAAACATTTGTACTCTGGAGGAGGGGGAGTCAGACAGGACAGATGTCTTTCTTTGGAGTGCAAAGAGTTTTACTACTCTGCTCCACTGCTACATGAGAGCTTTACTACTTGTTACTTATACTCAGTGGCCTCAAATTTTAATCTAAGCACATATGTAGGTTGTATGTTCAAAAAGGCAGCTATTAACACAGGCAGGAGACCCTGTGGTTCTCCGATTGTACTCAGGACAGTAATGATTTCTATGTGCCCCCACCGTGGGTGAAGGCTCTTTTCTATTGTCCTCACCCCCAGTAATTGCCACTACATGTAAATACCAAGTGGTTAGTTAATAATCAGTCTTTCATTGGCCAGCAATCACCCTGGGCCCCGTCTACACTTAGACCCCTCCCTCGTAGAGCCGCCCTGAAGACGGGGGCTCCTTTTGAATGACAGCGCTTGCGAAGAAGACGAATTTTTGTCTGATTTCCAGCAGCCACGGCGTCGATGAGAAGCAGCCGAGGAACTCCATTCTAACTGGATGGATTGGTATGGGGAGAAGCGGACCTCAAATCACGGCTAAGCGGCAGCTTTGGGACTGTGTAACGTGGATGATGGTTTTACTTTTGCTGCTGTTTCGACCAGGTAAGAGGTGCTTTCCAACCCGTGCTCCCCCACTCCTCTCCTGCATGCTACACTGCTCCCCACGCTCCTCGGAGTGAAGGTGGAGATGGAAACGTTTTTAACAGCTATGAGCTCTTTGTGCTTATCATAACTTCAGTTTTGAGTGTTTTGGTATAAAAAATGGCAGTAGTTTAAAAGTACCCCGTCCACAGTGGAGACAAAGTACTGTCCCGTAGCTGCTGCGGGGTATCCCAGTCTCCAGCCTGCACCGCAGCACCAGTTAACTCACTTCACGGACCTATTTTTGAACAAATGTGCCACTTTTCCGCACAAAAACAATGTCAGCAAACACTCGGTGCCCTGTTTGTTAGCAGCCATCACGGTTTAACCAAGCGCGTGCACTGCTGCTAAGTTTTTAGCTAGTTCCCAACTCTGTTAGCATGGCTAACAGTCAGACCAGAAGAAAATAACGGAGCATGTTTTTGTGCCAGAAAACACCACTAATGGCACACTTACGGTTCCTGTCGGTGCTCGTTTCACGTGTCGGAGCAGAAAGACCCTTGAGGGAGATGCATAGCTGTTGATGCCTCTGCAGGCAGTGATCGTCAGAAAGTGTCAGTCACAGCAGACGTGGGTGACCTCGCAGCAAGACCGGGAGGCCTGTTGGAATTCACAGGGGGGATGCAGAATGCCTATGACTTGACCTCTCACACTCCATCTCATGCCTTAATCGTCTGTCATGCCCTTTCCATGCATCAGATGTATGTGAAAGGGAAGATGGTGCAAACAGAAATGTGCACTTTGTGGGAAATCTCCATGCTTATCTTGACGCCAGTGTCCAGGCTGTTGAGAGATTAGATAGAGTTTTGGAGTAAACAGAAGATTATTCTGCTACAGCACAAGAGCAGTCTCTTGCAGTGGATCCCAGACTTGCAGTAAAAGTAATGTATGTGTTGTCGATGCAGGCTGATGTTAATCTGCTGTTTGCTGGAAATGGAAAATGAAATTCATCCCACTGAGCATATGAGACATCCCACCCAACTTGATGAATATCCACACTTTTAATTCTCACAAAGTCATTGCAGTTCTTTGCTTTCCTTGATAATATATTTCCCACTTGAGTCATAAATGGAAACCCCGATTTTAGGTGATACCGCCCTCTACCCCTCACTTGTTTCCAGTTGGGACCCTGAGTTGCTGAACAAGCAGGAGTTTTTGTGATGTTCCTCTTGTGGTCCAATTGAAGTTAGCTGCCCCCATATGCCGAGCCCTGCTGGGCCACCTAATGTAGTTTAGTGGACTTGAAGAACTACCTCAGCAACAGCCAAACCACATTCAGCACCCTGTGGCAAACTAACACGGGTTGGTTTCCTCCTACAGTGAGGCTACATGCTATTTTGGTGAGGGCTATCTGGGAGAAATAAGTTTTGACTGATTGTGGAGTGTGTGATCGTGGCCTCGTGAGCTCACACATGTGTATTTTAATGGCTCTCCTGATTGAGCTAAACTTGATAGTGGAAAAGTTTTGACTCTGCTGCCATTCATACTGAGCTGAGGTCATGCGTTCACAGATTTTAGCATTCCTACTTGGAGTATTTTTGGTTAGATCTAGTATCATTGTTTTGCAAAGAGGAAGGTTACTGATGAAAATGAGCAGAGAAATCTTTTAGAAGAAACCTTTTGTGACATATTAATGATATTGCAAAACAAAATGTTAACGTTCTTTGTTTTTGCTTTTCAGCTCACTGCCAGCAGTGTCGAATCCAGCGCTGCAATGCAGAGTATGTGGCTTTTACCTCACCCTCTAGTGGTCTGCAGGAGGACGTGGCTCTGGACGTGGACTATTGCATTGCACTACGGGCCTATGCTCAGTGCACCCGACGTCAGGCGCGCAGCTGTAGGGGTGATCTGGTCTACCACTCAGCTGTCTTCCGCATTAAGGAGTTATTCTCTCAGCATAACTGCACCCGCGACGGCCCCACCTCCTCCGCCAAGGTCCCCAGCACATCTAGGCCGGTCGTGTCAGAGCTGTGTGATTACGAAAATCGTGTGCTCTTGCTGAGCCCTGGCGGTCAGCAGAAGAAATACGCCCACTGTGGATTATTCGGAGACCCACACCTACGGACTTTCCGAGACGAGTTTCAGACCTGCAAGGTGGAAGGGGCGTGGCCTCTGATTGATAATCGCTTCCTGTCAGTGCAGGTGACGAATGTGCCTGTTGTCCTCGGTTCCAGCGCCACGGCAACCAGCAAAGTAAGGATGAGTTTTGAGCAGCACTTTGCAACTTCTTTGGCTTGTGAAGACATGTGTACAGCATGTCCAAGTTATTCTATTTATGCTACCAGTCAAAATTCTGGACACACATTTCCCATTCAGTTCAATAGAACCAACTTTTGACTGGTAGTGTACGTTTCATCCAAAACATTTTTGTCTTGTGTTGTTTGATTTGGATGCCTTTTACGGCCTGAGCCGATTCAGTGAATCTCTTCAGAATCTCACAAGGAAAAAGCAGTGATTTTAAAGAAAACAAACCCGATTTTTCATTCTGTGGCCTCTCAGATTTATATTGTGACCCCAGGGAAGGACCCACAGCACCCGAATGGGAAGTTGTCGCCAATGAAATGAGCATCCCGTTTAACTTGTTCAAAGTTATGTTTTAAATGTTTGATTGTATCTATTGTTAGTGGAAATCCACTACTTTTCTCACTACAGCCGCCTACCCTGTGTCCGTCTTGGAAATGAACACACACTTTATACTAGGTATAAAAAATGACCTATATGAGTAGGCTGGTTTCCAGCACTAAGTTACGAGCTCAAGTACTGCCATAAAGTACAAGACATGTGAAGTTAATCGTCATTCCACGGTGCCTCTCGAGCCTCCAGCATTCCTCTTGTCCTGGAGCTCCTTCAGATCTGTGAAGGGAAAAATAGAGGAGGGGAGTCCTTCAGTGGTGTTGAATAACAGACATGCTTGAGTGCTCTACCTTTAACACATGGGTGGTCATATGGTAGTGATTAACGCTCACTCAAACATTTTCCTCCACCGCCATGATCTGGAATGTTTTTTTCACCACTCTGGTCAAATAATTAACTGGGTGTTTTTTGTGTAAATATGGAATAATGTGGAGAAATAAAGGGGTAACTGGACAGCAGCGAAGGTTGTTTTTGAGTCTGCTGATTAAGAAGGCTGGCTTTTCATCTTTAATTTTTTTAAATTGTTGGAACTTTCAAATGTATTATAGCTATATCTTGGTTCTGAAAGTTTGTAATCAGGTCCACTATGCACAGACTGGTCTCCATTAAAATATATTTATTAAGCTGCTTTTACATTAATTTCATGATTAAATAGGAA